TTTTAGTTTTTGTCTTTTTCTTTTAGTTCTATCTTCTTTCCTTTCTATACTTTCTGATTTGGATTTTAACTGTACTTTTTATATATTTTAATAAAAGTTTTAATAAAAAAACAAACAAATGGTTAGTGGAGTATCTGTGCTGGGTCGAGCAGGACATAGGGATGGCTTTCACTGCCATGTCCTGTAACGCTCTTTTTTAAAAAACTCTCATGCCTCAACTATAATTCCTATTTGAAGGAAACTCCCTCATAGGGAGACTGGGTTTTGTATGAGCTAACTTTGAGTAGATCAGTGTACAAGCATCTTGGCCAGTGTGGCAAAACTCTGCGCTATCACTTGTTTTATAAGCCTCTGCTGACAGAGAGCTGGGCAATTTGTTGATACAAATATGTGTTGAAATATTTGCCCTACATTTATACTTACAAGTCTAATGCTAGTCAAATAACTGTAATAAACCTGTATTATTTTGGCCTCCAAATCTAGTCCTTATCAGTTCTTCCATCTATTTGTTTTATGGGTAAATACATTTAAAGCAGAAATGAATAATCAGAAAAAATGATCGCATATACAAGATTTATATTTACTTTATAAAATGATTTAATGTGTCTATTTTCCCCACAACTATAGCACTGAGTACTAAGTGCCAGTGTGCACTCTGTAATTCAAAGATCTTTACCAATAACTTCTTCTGGAGAATTTAAACATTATTTAAAATACTGCTTTTTATTGAAATAAAGAGTATTGAAAAATGCTGAATAAAAGGTTACACATTATTCAGTGATTCTTGAATTGACCTGGAATGGCCTTAAAATTATCTGAATTGTTTCAAAAAGTAATCACCAAATTAATGGAATATAGAAACAAGCTTACGAAAAAGCTCTTACAGCACCCTTCTTCTATGCAAAGGGCCTCCAGATGTGTTGGACTATAACTCCCAAAATTCCCACCCATGAGAAGTTTATGGGGAATATAGTCCAAATATCCCATTCTTCCCAGCTGAATTCCCTTTCCAAATTTGGGGAATGCATCCTGCAAGATAACCAAGGGACAAACACACACACTTGGGCAGCTCAGACCAAAGCCAAATTTAAGCCTCATTTTTCAAAATATCCTTTGGGCTGCAATTTTAAAAGGTTTCAAAGGGGTTCTTATACACATCCTCAGTAGATACCTCAAGAACCCACTTTTAAAGAAAACACTCGCTACCGCCTTAAATGCCAAGATTGAGAAATACAATGCTTCCAGACTAAAATTAAACTGAAAATACTCTTTCTCAGTCTCGTCCAGGAAGAGGTAGAGGGAGGGAGAAAGAAAAGGAAAGCCCCCGGGAGCGGAGGAGCAAGATTATCCTCCGTTCCTCCAAAAGAGATTACATTCGAGGGAACCTGAGCAAGAAGCAGAAGGAAAACGCAGAAAGGGAGACTGCAAAGAAAGGGAAACGAAAGAAAAGACCGAGGGGGGATGGCTGGGAGGGGGGCATTAAGCAGCTGGCAGGAAATGAGCAAGAATTACTTAGAAAAGCTGAAAGTTAGTCAAGGAAAGGGACCAGGGTCCAGCGCGCAGAGGCCGACGGCGGGAGGCTTCGCTTGCCAGACGCGTAAGAGGAGCGCGAGGCTCAGGCGGAAGATCCCCCTGCCCGGATAGCCAGCCGGCCACCAGCACCATCCCGGTCTCGGCTGCTCACCTCCAGCCAACGCAGAACCGACTTCAGCCCGCTCGGCCGACCGGCGATTGACTGAGCCGCCGACGCGAGGCTTTCCCAACACGTCTGAGGTCACGCCTCTGGGCTTACCCACTTGCGGAGCCACCCTGTTTTTTCCGCTCCTTCCAGGCGCTTTCCTGTCCTTAAACGTCCCCCCAGCTTTGCCCACAGTGTGCCGGTCAGCTACGTTGGGGTTCCGTTCGCAGATCTTCTGACCGGGAAGGCTGGCAAAACGCCTCGAATATATCTCATTGGATGTCCAGAGGCTCCAGACACCTCACTAAGGGGAGATGTGCTAAGACATTTCAGAGATTATACTGTGAGAAGTCACCAAGTCCTGTTGGCATCCACCGGAAAGTTCTTAAAAATACTCCAATGTGACAGTGCTGCACTGCTAGAAAAAGATGTGGAACTTGTCACCGCCAGAAAACAGGGAGGTAGCAAAGGTAACACCAATTTTTAAAAAAGGACCCAAGGAAAGTATAGGCCAGTCAGTTTAATATATAGTTCACACAAATGGCTTTAAACCATAAACAAATAAATCCTTGATTTCTTTGCATTGTTCATTTAAGAAGGCCTTCTTA